ATTCCAAAAATTTTAAATTTTAATTTGCACTAAGTTTAGTTTTGGTTTTTTAAGGCTTTGGGGCCCCCCCCATTCCCGGGGAAAATTGGGGGATCTGATTTTTTTTGGTAAGAGATTATTTTTTGGGGGAAATTTTTTTGGCCTTTTTTCCCTATCATTTTGGCACCAAAAGGGGAAAAAATTTTCATTTCAGTGCATTTTGGGGGGATAGGGGTGATGGGAAAATTTTAAAACTCAATTTTTTTTTGGGTTTTTTGGTACAAGGGAAAAGGTTTCTTAATGGGGGTTTGGGAGGGCCTTTACTCCTTTTTTAAATTTTGGCTTGTGACTTCCAAATGATTTTCTTTCTTTACCTATATACATTTTTTAATGTTTAAGTGACTTTTTTAATGGTTTTAGACATTTTTCAGTCTCTGACTTCCCAAATTTTTGGAAATTGGGTTTTTAAAAGAATACAAAATTTTTTAAAATGTTATTTTAAAAAACAACTTGTAAATTTTATTTTAGGGGTTAAAAAAAAAAAAAACTGCTGTTTCCCAAAAATTTTTGGGTTTAAACATTATATTTTGTTTACCCCGTTAATGGTTTTTAAAATTTTCACTGAATTGAATTTTTGTAATAAATAAATTGATTCAATTAAACCCCCCCTGATTTTTTACATGTAAGGGTTTATAGTGTTTTAAGAAACATTAATTTCCCATTAATCTTAAAATTTAAATTCATTTTAAATTTTTTAAATTTTTTATTGAAATGGGTCCCTTTGATTTTTGGTTTTCTTCCATCACAATTGGAGAAATTTTGATTTATGCCCCAAATTCCCCCCTTTTTTTCATTCTTTTTTTTCCTTTTTTTTGCAAATTTTCATTTTTGGGTAAAAAAAGATATTAATTATTATTTTTTATAAGCTTTACTTGATCTTAATATTTAGCCAGTTTAACTTAAGCTACTTCAAAGTTGAATTTATTTTCAGATGAGGTAATTTTAAAATTCCCTGTTATTAAAAAATTTCTAAAAATTCATGTAGTTATATCAGGGGGGTAATTGAATCATTTTATTTGATTACTATAATACATGCAACTTATTCAGGGGGGGTAATTTTTAAAAACAAAAATTAAAAATTATTCTTTTTTAAAAGGGAAAGTATAAATAAAACCCCAAAGATAATTTTTACAATGCCTGCACTTTCATATTTATCAATTGTTTAATTATTAGCAAAGGGTTTAAAATTTTCTGTATATTTTTTAGGTAAAACGCGCCCCTACGTGTACAGTTTTAAACCCTCCTCTATCCACTAGCCCAAAAAGGGAAAACTTTTGGGATTGGGGGGGGGATGCTTTCTGGGTCCCCGGTGGATTTTGAATTTAGATTATAACTTTCCGATGAAAAAGTTACTTAAAAACCAAAAAATTCAAATTGGGTTTATCAAAATCTTTAAAATTTTTTTACCGTATCATATTGATCTGGAAATACAAATTTACGCAGAAAAGAATCGAAACGGGGGTGTAAAAAATTATTTCAGCGAATTTTACGTCAGTGTCATAACCTACAAGTCGGGTGTCATCAAGTATGGACAAAAAGGAATTTTTTGGGTGGTAGTACTGGTAAAATAAAGCCCCTGCCCAAGGGGGTCAAGGTCATTCTGTTTTAACTGGGGCAGTATTATACTTTTAAACATTATCCACTGTTCCGGGGAATTTACTGTAAACAACAGTGTCAATTTATTTTCAAAATTCAGTGAAAATTTTTAATCCATTGTCAATAAATGCCCCATCTTCCCAAACCATTTACCACAGTTTTATCCCAAAGGGCCCCCTAAGCCCTAGAAAAATATATCCCGTTTCCCCGTCTACCCCCTCAGCCCGCAGAAAACCCGTCCCGGGAGTTTGGTTTCCGCCTTTCCAAAACCCTCCATTCCCGGTTTACAATTGCTTTTAACTTTTTCCCCAAATTTCCCCTCATTCTTAAAAACAATACCCCAGACTTTTTTCCCTTTTTTTGACATTTTTAAATTTCCAAAAGTATGTTTTTTAGCCAAAGGGGTCCGGAAATGGGTTTTTAATGACAAACCCATATTCGGGGGGAGTCACTGCCAGGTTTTTTAACTTTCATCAACCCGCACAGGCAGTTCATCTCAACCAGGTCATTTTCTTCCTGGGTAAGCAACATATTGTATTTAGATTATTTTTCTTAAATGTTTCTCTGTTGTTTTGTACAATATAGGTTTGTGAAATATAGGAGAAAAGTTCCAGTTTTGTAAAAATGTTTTGATCTTTATCCTATGGGTTTATTTCTTAAAATCATGATTCAAGTTTTATGATCTGTGAAAGCAGCTTTTTTCTTTACAAACAATAAATTTCATGACACACTTTATTTGGCAGTGTGCCATGAAAAAACATTCCCAGGCTTAGTTGAATGTCCTTAACCTTGCATTTTAACAAAATGTTTGAAAATGTTGCTATTGGTATGGCTGTTTTTCTCATAAAGAGACAGATGCTAAAAAATATTGAATTAAACAATATCAATTTTATAAAATTTCATTTCTGAAGGAAAGAGAAATATACATGATGATGTGATGTCAATAATAATGTTACATACATTTATCTTAAAAATTAATCTTTGTTTCAAACATTAGGGATTGGAAACATCTAAAAGTCCCTATCCCATTTTGTCTATCTGAGTTTAATCATATTAAAGATGATAATGTGTCCAAATGACGTTTGGCAAAACTTGTGACCCTCGGCTGGCCCAAAACTAGATTTTTCAGGAAAAAGTCCCTTAATTGCCTATCTAAGTTAAATCATGAAATGATAATGTAGCATTTGCAAGCGTAACTTCTGCTGGTCCAAAACTAGACTTTCAGAAAATGTTTCCCTTTATAGTAGATGGGATAGATTTTGAATTCATTCATTTGAACCTAGCTGGAAACTTTATAATATAAATGCATATATCTGGGATAATTAGTAAAGTACATTAAATTATAGCTTAGGGTCCATTTGATACACCATAATATGAATCTGGGACTGCTTAGTGTAACAAACACCAGTATTGACGTCATGTATTGAGGAAAAATGGTTTTAAACCTAGTTGTATTAAGGCTTAAACTTGTTTCTTTGGGTTGAGAGGCATACATGTTAAGTACTGGTACTACATGTAAGCCAACATGCTGTAAACATGATTGTTTTAGATAGCCTAGTAATTTTACAATTTAACTTGAGTTATATTATAAAGCAGACAGTTAACAATTTAAGTAATACTCATTTATACTCTAGGTAAAGCATTGAATTTGCAAATTAGTTGAAGAAATTTTGTTACATATATACAATGTATACAATCATGTATTTATGTGAACACTGCAAGTTTTATTTTGCGAGGTGTTAGTATTATAACTAATGTTTTTTTAACTTGAACTCATGACAGAATATAAAAGCCAGTGTTCATGAATTATTCATAGTTTGTGTTATAAACAGAGAGAACTCCAAAGTGTCGATTTGTTGTCAGATTTTTCGTTGCAGTGATTTCTCAGCATTCTACAGTATTGATTATTGCTCATTTTAGTTTAAATTGTTACATTTTTGTATGATTTATTGCGAGTCGATGCATAAGATGTCTGGATACATAATACTGTAGATTAGGCTGTTTTAGGGTAAATTTTATTTTCACTTCATTTGAGAAACACATATATATAAGCTCAGTCATTGTTACCGAATTGTAAATATTTTTTTTTACCACGGTCAAACTCATACTGTTAGTCTGTTACACTATTTTAATTGATGTTCTACTCATTACATACCATTAAAGTGAGCTAACAGGGCAGTGGTTTTTCTCACTTAATTGGGAACAAGCATTGGCCACTTGATTTTTGGAAAAATTATCCCTGAAATTATGCTTATTTGGGAAGTAAAAAAAGCTTGAGTAAAATCAGATTTTTAGGAAAATTGCATGATCGTAAATAAGATTTTAATTGGGAAGTCTTCAGGGCCTCATGATTTTGGCAAAAATTATCCCTAAATTTGCTAATTTAGGAAGTGAAAAAAGCTCGGGTAAGTTCAGATTATTGGGAAAACTGCATGATTCTAAAGAAAATTTTAATTGGAAATAGCCCTTTCATATATAGGCTTCTATTACATAGGGAGAAATGTCACTCATTATGAAATAATAATAAAGATCATGTAACTATAAATGAGCCGCATCACGACAAAACCAACATAATGGGTTTGAGACCAGCATGGATCCAGACCAGCCTGCGCATCCATGCAGTCTGATCAGGATCCATGCTGTTCGCTTACCAACTCTATTACAAAAAGAGAAACTGATAGCAAACATCGTGGATCCTGATCAGACTGCGCAGATGCTCAGGCTGGTCTGGATCCATGCTGGTCGCAAACCCATTATGTTGGTTTTGTCATGACGCGGCTCAAATATGATATTACAGTGCATGTAGTGACTCCATGCTCTGTGACGTGAAAATATTTACAAGCCATAAAAAAGAGATAATCTTCAATTGACATGCTTTAGCCTAGAAGAATATGTATTTTGATGTGATGGGCTGTTACAATTGATTTTATAAGGCCTTAATAATATTGATCTAGTATATCTCGTATAATAATCCTCAATACAGGAGAAATCTTTGATCTATACCAGGCTAGCATCTCATTCTCCCAATACAAGACATGATAATAGTCTCTTATCCGAATTATTCTTCACAAATAATACAACTGCATTATTGTTTATGAATATTGAAACTTGGATTTTTGAAGTATATAAACAATATTGTTGATACCATTTGTTTATTTATGAGTAATGTGTGAGGAAATTACATTACATTGTACAACAGTGTAAATTTGGAGATGAAACCTTCTTTTATGAAGTGGGTGAAAGGGTGTTTTAACAGGATCTTAGCCATATAGTACATTTATTATAATACAATAGTGACATTGTGATCTATTGTATTGACAAATCATAACATTTCGCGAAAAGTTTGTGTCCGAGAAATTCATATAATAAAATCCACTCAGAGTCACACTTCATGTGATTTCTCGATACTCTAAGGATTTTGCATATTCCTCGTTATTTATACTGTGGTTAAGTATTGGATATAAGAGCTATTTATAATATCGTACATTAAAGTGTCTTTAAGCAACATAACGGAAAAAATACTCATGTTAAATAAGGGATGGTTAAGGTAAGTTTTTCAAAGTACCGCGGTATTAATAATTGTGATGATCTTGTAATGATCAAAATTAATTTAATGTTTAAAATTCAAAATAAGTTTTTTTTCTCCAAATTTTCAGCAGTGTAAAATACATTGATATAGTAGAATGTAAGAGAATTAATATTCTTTAAATGATTTTGTCTTAAATAGATTATAGGCATCTTCAATATTACTTTATTGTTTTACCAGAATAAACAACAACAACCGTCGTATTAGAATCTGAATATAAACTAATTGAATTATAATAAGTCACATTTTTCTCACTAATCTTTATCTTGGTCTATTTATTATTATAATAGAGAAACCTATCCTTAATTTGATATGCTGGTGTCTATGAGTCCATGTCAACATGACATCTTGGTACATTGGTACATTGTACCACCAACCCCTCACCGCTGTGGGTTCGAATCCTGACAGGAACTTTGGATTCTTTCATGTGAGGAAGCTATCCAGGTAGCTTACGGAACATCGTTGGTTCTACTCAGGTGCCCTTTCGTGCCTGAGGTCTTCCTCCACCAGTAAAGCTGGAACGTCGCCAAATGACCTATACTGTGTCGGTGTGACGTAAAACCCAATCAAACAAACAAAACCATCAACCCCTCTCTTTCATAGAACACATTGTCATTCTGTTACGCTTTGAAGCGTATAACACTTGTGATTGACCATCTCTTTCACTGAAAGAACAAAAACAACATATAACTCTTTTGTGGATTTGGTTATAGAACGCCAATCTATCTTTCTTTTGGTTTGTACTTTTGTATCACATCACATCCACTGAAACCATTGAGATGATTATAATTGCTTTAAAACATGGAATACTTATTCATGATGTAAGAATCATACTCATGTGTATGTAAGGGTATGTAATTCTGTCATGGATTTTGACAAAATTATATTCCTAATTTTGATTTACAAGTTTGTAAAGACTACGTTCCTATTTCTCTGCCAAGTATTCAGTGTAAAATCAAGCAAGTTGACTTACAAGAGAGTATGTTCTTGTATTTAAGTATTATGATATTTGATTTGTTTCAGGAACTTGAACCCAGCTTTACTATTTTCTAGTGGCAGGCAAGGGAGAGTGAGACCATCTCCAGGTAACCTTTTTCTAGGTTATTAATATACATGAAGGGTTATACTTTACCCTTATACTATACATGCTCAATATTTGTAACGGATTTGCCCGACTTTCTTTCTAGATCTAACCATTTATCAATTTTAGGGAAATTTTCTAAAAAGTTCCTACAGTAAAAACTATGACTTTGTAACTAAAAATAGCAAGTCACGTTGATAATTTTTTTTTCCTTTTTCATAACATAGTTATGCACTATTTCATATGAGCATTTCACTGTAACTTGGTTGTTTCTGATGTTAATTTGCCAAACAGAAGCACATGAAAAATTGCTAGACTGGAACCCAGTTTACTAAAAATTAAATAGACACAATGCTTTTTAACTTGTATGTATTGTAACATTTGAGCCGCGCCATGACAAAACCAATATAGTGCATTTGCGACCAGCATGGATCCAGACCAAAGCTGCATTACTGGTACTGGTACTGGTACTGCAGTATGTACTGCAGCAATTTTGCAAGTACTGGTACTGATACTGAATTACTCTTACAAAATTTTGCTACTACTGGTACTGGTACTGCAGTACTGTCTTACAAAGTGGTACTGCTACTGCATTACCCAGTACTTTTGGTTGTGATCAAATTATAAATAACATCAATTTTTCTCATAAAATAAAGCTGTAAATTACATTAACTATATTTTATTTTTGTCAAAAAGTAAGTTATCAAATATAAAGATAATTTGCTGCAATATTCCTTCAAATGTTAACATAGTATTCATCATAAAAAGCACCAAAGACTTTAAGTTAAAATTAAATGAAGATAAACAGACTCAATAACTCTTTACCCTAAAATATCCTTATTCAATCTTTTATTACTTTGTCTTTACTAGTGAAAGAACAAAATAAACACTAATTAATTTCTTCTTTTCTAAAAAATCCCATTTCAAGTGAAAAAAGTGATATTGTAAGCGCCATAAAAAGTTGTTATTTACTTTGGTATAAATTGAACAGAGGTGTGAAGGTGTGAAAGGCAACAAAAGACTGTTGTGTTTTAAATGAAAGATGTTTGCATTGTATTTATACAGTTGACTGGTTACTAAACAATTAGATATGACCTAAATATATGTTGTAAATATTGTTTGTAAAAAGTATGTTAAAACTATAAAGTTGTAAATATGTTATGTAAATTATGATTTTATTTCTTTGCTGAATGGTCAATCCGGAAGAAAATATCAAAATAGTTAGAGCGCACCGAATTGGTCAGTATAGAGAAAACAATTTTTTTAATACGCCCAATAGTTGCAAAATTCAAAGATCCTGATATCAAATCAATAATAAAACAAAGTGTTTGAAAAAAAGGATACAATTAGTCATGGCGTAAGCGACCAGTACCCTAAAGCGATTCAGGAACGGCGAAGATTGTTAAACCCTTATCTTAAGAAAGCACGGGATGCTGGCTTGAGAGCGAACTTACATTTAAACAAACTGTATATTGGGAAAAGACTTTACACAATTGATGACCTGCCAAGCTTTAAAGGCATATCATAATCTTTTATCTTTATTTGATAGAGTTTAATTTGATATAAAAACAAAATTAAAACTTTTTGATAGTATGGTAGTACCAATATTACTGTATGGTTCAGAGATCTGGGGCGCTTTTGATTGCAAAGAAGTTGACAAATTACATATTAAGTTTTGTAAAAGCATTTTAGGTGTTAAAAAACAAACTCCGAACAACGCAGTATTCGGAGAACTTGGTGGATTCCCTTTAACAGTTTTATGTCAAGAAAGAGCATTAAAATATTGGATAAAAATAAAGAAACAGTCTATACCAGAATTGTTTAGTGTATATAGTGATCAAGTATATAACTTTAGAGGATCTTCTTGGGCTAAAAGTATTCACAATATAATTAATAACTTAGGCTTTTCAAATTGTATAGAGAATTTTGAAAATAATTGTAACTATATTGTATCATTCAAACAACGTTTAAGAGATCAATTTGTGCAGAAATGGCACAAATCGATTGAATTAATGCCAAAACTCGATTACTATAGAATGTATAAAAATGATTTTTGTTTTGAAGAGTATCTTAATATTGTTGATAATAGTAAATTAAGGAGACAACTTTCAATTTTTAGGCTAAGTTCTCATACATTAGAAATTGAAACTGGAAGATACATGTATATTGGGGTTGAAAGAAATGCGAGATAATATAAATTTTGTTCTCAGCAAGCTGTTGAATCGGAATATCATTTTCTTTTATGCTGTCCATTATATAGAGATTTAAGAATCAAAGACAAATTGCCACACACTTTTCCAAATCTAAATAAATTTTCTAGATTAATGACAAATTCTAAAAGAAAAAATCTATATCATTTAAGCAAATTCTTAAGAGATGCATTTGATAGAAGAAATGAACAATTATAAAATAAATATTAAAACAATCTTATGATTGGTATTAAATTGTCGATATACCACAAATAATCTTAACACAATATAATGCATTGTTATGTTTAATATTCATTCAATGTATGTTTGCTTTTGTTAGATTTATTATTGTGTGTTTGCCATATGTATATTTATGTTTGTATTGCCAAAGGCAGATATCTGCCGAATTGCAAATAAAATTTTGACTTTGACTTTGCTGAATAATATTTGCAATTATTTGTTTGACTCTGTATTTATTCAGAACAGAACTTTATTCAAACTTTGATGAATATATAAAAGTAATGGTACTGATACTTAATTACTTCACCAAAAAAAGTACTGGTACTGCAGTACCAAGCTAAAATCTAGTACTGGTACTGGTAATGGTACTGCATAATTTGCCAAGTACTGGTACTGGTAATGGTACTGCATAATTTGCCAAGTACTGGTACTGGTACTTAAGTACTACACCTTTAGTACTGATGCAGCTCTGATCCAGACCAGCCTGCACATCCCCGCAATCTGATCAGGATCCATGCTGTTCATTAACAAATCCTATTTACAAGTAGAGAAACTGATAGCAAACAACATGGATCCTGATCAGACTGTGCGGATGAGCAGGCTGGTCTGGATCCATGCTGGTTGCAAACCCATTATGTTGGTTTTGTCATGATGCGGCTCATATATGTTTATTGACAATATTTTACAGGAGCGACTGGAAGTTCAATTCAACCATCCTATGATAGAATACCTAACCTTGCCCCTAAACCTGGCAAAAGAAGCAATAAAACTAGTATGTCTTTTGTTGTAGTTAAATTTCCCATTCAAATTTTTCCTGAGGTGAAAAGACCTGGTTTCTTGTTTTGTTACAATTTTTGTGTATCACAAAACAATAAGCTTTATGGTCACTTTGAAATACTTGTATGAAAATGTATTAGAGAAATTATTATAATTCAAATTTATTGTATGAAAATGTAATTGAAGAAAATATAAATATTGAAATTTACCTTCTGAAAATATATAAAATGTTATTAAAAAAATACTATTATTGAAATTTACTGCATGAAAATATTATTGAAAGAAATATTAAGATTGAAAGTTACCGTTAGAAAATTTTATTCAAGAAATATTGTAATTAAACTTTTCAGTTATGAAACTTTACAAGAAATTGTATGCTAAATCACATGACATAGACATTGATAATCACTGTAGGACAACTAGTGCTCACACAAAATGTGGCCCCCTTCGAAGAAGAGGGGGTATATTGTTAGCTCGACTATTCAATAAGAATAAGTAGAGCTATTGTAGTCACACGAGCGTCGGCGTCTGCGTCGGCGTAACCACTTATGTTAAAGTTTTTGTAATAGTTCAAATATTTTCAAAATCCATTGACATATGGCTTTGAAACTTTGCACACTTGTTCACCATCATTACCCCAACCTGTAAACAGGAGGAGGTAACTGTATCAAGCATTTTGACAGAATTATGCCCCTTTTTCGACTTAGAATTTACGTTTAAAGTTTTTGTAATAGTTCAAATATTTTCAAAGTCCATTGACATATGGCTTTGAAACTTTGCACACTTGTTCACCATCATGACCCCAACCTGTAAACAGGAGAAGGTATCTATCTGTATCAAGCATTTTTTTTTTTAATAACAAGCACTAAGAATAGTCGAGGGTTTCTGTCCTACCGACAGCTCTTGTTTTGCTAATGTCAGTCGGTCGGTCTGTCTGTCCGTTGGTAGACCACATGGTTTTCGCTGATTATCTTGAAAAGTATTTATTACAAAGTCTTCATATTTCACATTGTGATTGAACTTAATTAGTAGATGACCCCTATTGATTTTAGGGTCACTAGGTCAAAGATAAAGGTCACAGGGCCTTAAATGTCAGAATGGTTTCCGCTGATTATCTTGAATGATTATCTTGAAACTATGCATCACAAAGTCTTCATATTTCACAAAGTGATTGGTCAAAACTAGTATATGACCCCTATCGATTTTTGGGTCAAAGGTCAAGGTCTCAGGGGCCTTATATGTCAGAATGGTTTCCGCTGATTATCTTTAAAAGAATTCATCACAAAGTTTTCATATTTCACAAAGTGATTAGTCATAACTAGTAGATGACCCCTTTTGATTTTTGGGTCACTTGGTCAAAGGTCAAGGCCACAGGTGCCTTAAATATCAGAATGATTTCTGCTCATTATCTTGGTTACTACCTATCACAAAGTCTTCATATTTCACATATTGATTGGTCGTAACTAGTAGGTGACCCCTATAGATTTTGGGGTCACTAGGTCAAAGGTCAAGGCCACAGGGGCCTTGAATGATAGTGTGTTTTCAACTTTTTATCTTGGTTACTATTTATCACAAAGTCTTCATATTTCACATATTGATTGGTTATAACTTGTAGATGACCCCTATTGATTTTTGCGTCACCAGGTAAAAGGTCAAGGTCACAGGGTCTTAAATGTTTGAATGTTTTCCACTCAGTATCTTGCTTACTATGTATCAAAAGTCTTCATATTTTACATATTGATTCGTCATAACTAGAAGATAACCCCTTTTGATTTTGGGGTCACCAGGTCAAAGGTCAAGGTTACATGGTCCCCAAATAGTAGTATGGTTTCTGCTCATTATCTTGAAAGCTATTTATCACCAAGTCTTCATATTTCACATAGTGATTGATCATAAGTAGTAAAGTAACCCCTTTTGATTTTGGGGTCACTTGGTCAAAGGTCAAGGTCACAGGGTCCTTGAATATTAGTATGGTTTCCGCTCATTATCTTGAAAGCTATTTATCACAAAGTCCTCATATTTCTAATATTGATTGGTCATAACTATTAGATGACCCCTAATGATTTCGGGTCACAAGTTCAAAGGTCAAGGTCACAGGGCCCTTAAATGTCAGAATGGTTTCCACTCATTATCTTGAAGGCTATTAATCACAAAGTCTTCATTATTTTCTTTTTTCCATAACTGAACACTACCATTTACCTATTTATAGCAAGTTTCTAAAACAAAATAACCATAATGTGAGTCAAGGGCTAGAAAGGGGGCATATGTGTTCTTCAGCATTTTTAACCAGGTTTTCCGAAGGAAAAAACTGGTTATTAGATTGAGGTATGTCGGCGGGCGGGCGGACGGGCGGGCGGGCGTAAACAATTTCTTCTGTGCGCAACTCCTTCTACATTTCTCAACGGATTTTGACCAAACTTTCACAGAAGCTTTGTCATCAAGTGCCCTGGCGCATATTGTCGGGGTTTTGCGATTGGATAATATTTGACCTAATTACGGCCCTTTGTTTTTTTTCCTTATAAAGAATATATCGTGAACAATTTCTTCTGTGCGCAACTCCTCCTACATTTCCCCACGGATTTTGACCAAAATTTCACAGAATCTTTGTCACCAAGTGCCCTGGCGCATATTGTCGGGGTTTTGCGATTGGATAATATTTGACCTAATTATTGCCCTTTGTTTTTTTCCTTATATAGAATATATAGTAAACATTTTCTTCTGTGCTGTACTCCCTCTACAATTCTCAAGGGATTTTGTTCAAACTTTCACAGAAGCTTTGTCATCATGTGCCCTGGCGCATATTGTCAGGGTTTTGTGATTGGATAATATTTGACCTAATTATGGCCCTTTTTTTTTCCTTATACAGAATATATAGTGAACAATTTCTATCATGCGCAACTTCTCCTACATTTCTCGAAGGATTTTGACCAAACTTTCACAGAAGCTTTGTTATCAAGTGCCCTGGCGCATATTGTCTGGGTTTTGTGATTGGATAATATTTGACCTAATTATGGCCCTTTGTTTTTTTTCCTTATACAGAATTATCAATATACATGTATAGTGAACAAATTCTTCTGTGCTGAACTCATCCTACATTTCTCAACGGATTTTGTTCAAACTTTCACAGAAGCTTTGTCACCAAGCGCCCTGGCACATATTGTCGGGGTTTTGTGATTGGATATTTTTTACCTAATTATGGCCCTTTGTTTTTTTCCTTATACAGAATATATAGTGAAGACTTCTTCAGTGGCGATTCCTCCTACATTATTCATGTTTTACATTGCACATAGTTACATTGTTTGTTGCTTGTATTTGTATTTCAAATACAATATATTTATCTACAATGGTGATAATTGAAAACCTGGTTTCATGGCATTGCCATGTTTCTTGTTGGTTCTCTGTTGCATCCATAAAAAAGTGAAAACCTTTTAAAGAAGAATTGCATATTGATTCCCCAGAAACAGAAGGGAGCACACCCCCTTTTGGCAACCCCTTGATGTACCTTTTTGATAGGGAGCGGCGCCGAAAAAAGTAATCACTTTTTCATCAACATATCTCAAACGAAAAACAGTGTTTGGGGCATGAATAGGGCATTTTTTCACTGTTTGTGGCCTCAAGAAGGGGGGGGGGGGGGGTAGAAAAGCTGTCGAAACACGTCTATATGAGGTAAAAAAGAAAAACATGGCCGGCACTGGCCGCATGGTGCTACTTAGAGTGCTACTTAGAAGGCTAATTTTTAAGCAGAAAATAAGTATAAAACTATTATTTATACAATTTGTCATCTAAGTTTTATAATTTTAAGATTTTGTATTTCAGCATCTTCTGGTGAAGATATCTTACATGATTATGTTGAAATACTGAATTCACCACCAGCGGATGATGTAAGTTTATAACAACATTTATATATTATAGTTCACAGAAAATCTGATAGTATGAAAAATGAAGTTTATAAATAAATTATGTAGAAAAAAAATATTGGGGTAAGAGGATCATTATGTGCTACATGTATATATAATTATTTGATAGTCTAAAACAAAAAACAAGTTAGATTTATATTATACAGTTATTGTACGATGATGATGAGGTTAATATCCATGTCTATGGACGTAGCAAATATGATATTCACCGAAACATGCATATTCACTAAAATCTTCAAAAATGTATTAAACCTGTTTTATTATATGACCAAAATAAAATTCTTTATTTGGTTGATTTTTAGAGTTGACCAATTTCCTTTTGTCATGCAAACAAAACATAAATAAGAGTAAGCAAAGCACAGAAGTTATTTTCTTGCTTTCAGCATTAAAGTTCCTTTCTAAATCATATAAATATAAGAATGCATAAAATTATCATTGTATTTTTGACAGAAAAAACGCTGGCTGAATCTGTTATTAATACATGATATTAATTGCTTTGGATTGATCAGCTAATACCCTTTAATATCCAGTAATGCCATTAATGATTGGTTTCCAATAATAGACACTGTAGTAAATTTAGGGCCAAGCTTTGTGACATTGTTGATAACAGTATCCTCTGCAGTCAAGGTCATTGTTATTTGCTTTTGACTGACAATCACAACATGGGAAATGTTAGTTATATAATAATATACATTGTACATGGTAAAGATTGTTGGATTCTTCACAGGTCATATAGCCCAGTATTATAAATACTGCACATTTGTAACATTGCTTTTCATTGGAAAATCCTGATGTTTCTATAGTTTTATATACACGGCTGCTTTCAATTTATCATGACATCTTACTTCTCTAAAAAAGGAAGTTTCCTATATTGTAAATTTGTTATAAATATTCCTGACAGGCTATATGACCGTATATAAATTGGTTGCTTGCAATTTCCAAACAACCGTTTATATAGGGCTGTATAACCTTTCAAAAATCATTGAATCTAATAATAATATGGTTTTAAAATAACAGCTATATCAGACTATAGTAAATGTTGTCCTATTACTGTTAGACTATTTCTAATACTAGTAGCAGTATTTGTAAATGTTTGATTATTACTGACAATAGAAAAATATTGGAATATTACTGAAGCAAATATTGGGACTATTGCAGGCTGTAGTAAAGTTGTTGTTGTTGTGTATATAGTGTGTCATGTATTTCAGGATTGCTGTATATGTTGTGAGAAGTTGATCGAGGCGTCGGGGCACGGGACAGGATCGCCCGAGGATCATGTTGTTTACAAACTCAGCAAATGTAGTCACATGTTCCATAAACTATGTGTGACAGCCATGTATGATAGCGGTGCTAAGGTATATTTATATATATATATATAAGAAGTTTGAAAGAATGCTTAATTAAATTAAAGATTTTTCATAACATAAGTGTACAAGTTCATATAGTGTGAACTGATATGAGCCGCATCACGACAAAACCAACATAGTGCATTTGCGGCCAGCATGGATCGCGCAGTCTGATCAGGATCCATGCTGTTAGCTATCAGTTTCTGTAATTGTAAAAGGGTTGGTAAGTGAACAGCATGGATCCTGATCAGACTGCGCGAATGCGCAGGCTGGTCTGGGCTCTAGCTACGTTTGTGCAGGCCTACTATATATGTTAATTTGCCACTTTAACATTTTCTATTATAATTTAAGAGCCTAGAGTATAATAAATTCTTTGCATATGATTATATTTTATGTAAATTAATTTATTATGCCCCCCTTCGAAGAAGAGGGGGTATATTGTTTTGCTAATGTCGGTCTGTCTGTCGGTCTGTCCGTCGGTAGACCACATGGTTTCCGCTGATTATCTTGAAAAGTATTAATCACAAAGTCTTCATATTTCACATAGTGATTGGTCATAACTAGTAGATGACCCCTATTGATTTTGGGGTCACTAGGTCAAAGGTCAAGGTCACAGGGACCTTAAATGTCAAAATGGTTTCCGCTGATTATCTTAAAAAGTATGTATCACACAGTCTTCATATTTCACACAGTCATTGGTCATAACTAGTAGATGACCCACATTGATTTTGGGGTCACTAGGTCAAAGGTCAAGGTCACAGGGACCTGAAATGTCAAAATGGTTTCCGCTGATTATCTTAAAAAGTATGTATCACAAAGTCTTCATATTTTTACACAGTGATTGGTCATCACTAGTAGATGACCCATATTGATTTTGGGGTCACTAGGTCAAAGGTCAAGGTCACAGGGGCCTTAAATGTCAAAATGGTTTCTGCTGATTATCTTGAAAAGTATGTATCACAAAGTCTTCATATTTCACATAGTGATTGGTCATCACTAGTAGATGACTCCTATTGATTTTGGGGTCACTAGGTCAAAGGTCCAGGTCACAGGGGCCTTAAATGTCAAAATGGTTTCCGCTGATTATCTTGAAAAGTATGTATCACAAAGTCTTCATATTTCACATAGTGATTGGTCATCACTAGTAGATGACCCCTATTGATTTTGGAGTCACTAGGTCAAAGGTCAAGGTCACAGGGACCTTAAAATGTTGAAATGGTTTCCGCTGATTATCTTGAAAAGTATGTATCACAAAGTCTTCATATTTCACATAGTGATTGGTCATCACTAGTAGATGACCCCTATTGATTTTGGGGTCACTAGGTCAAAGGTCAAGGTCACAGGGACCTTAAAATGTGAAAATGGTTTCCGCTGATTATCTTGAAAAGTATTCATCACAAAGTCTTCATATTTCACATAGTGATTGGTCATAAGTAGTAGATGACCTCTATTGATTTAGGGGTCATTAGGTCAAAGGTCAATGTCACATGGGCCTTAAATGTCAAAATGGTTTTCGTTGATTTTTTCATAATTGAACACTTCCATGTACCCATTTTTGGCAAGTTTCTGTAATAAAATTACCAATTATGTGAGTCAATGGTTAGAAAGGGGGGTATATGTGTCGTTCGACATTCTTGTTTTGTTTAAAACAGCAAATAAATAAGCAATATGATTGTAATATTGTAAAGTTTAGCAGGCTTATTAAAGTGTTAAGCATCTTTGGTCTACTTATCTATTGTACAGTGATCATAATTATTTCAATGTACGTATTGTGTAATACAGTACAACCTCTGTAGAGAAATACCCCTTTTGAGACAAAGACTTTGGTTGCTGCTGAAAGGTTTTACCTTATAAAAGTGAAATTCATTGTGAAAAAAAAAATCTGGAAACAAAGTGATCCCTCAGAAGCATTAATTGCAACAAAATTACATGAAAATTGCAGACTCGATTTGATTGAAGACTGATTTTGGGGAGAAAAAAATGATACTGTTATTGTAAAGAGGTGATTGCTGTATAGAGGGTCACTATGAACGGTTGTACTGTATATAATATAATGATTACAGGATGGTCATATGCAGTGTCCGACATGTAAGACTATATATGGTGAGAAGATGGGTAATTGTCCGCGTGGAGAGATGGAGTACAAGATTATAGATCATCATTTACCGGGCTACGAGGAACATCGTACCATACAGATAATGTACAGTATAAACAGCGGTACACAGGTACGTACGATAATCTCATATTGTGTTTACTATACTTACATTTAATAGGCTTAAAATCCAGCATAGGTGTTTAACTTTTATTTGAATTCCATAAATGGACTTGATTGTAAAAAATGAGTAGTCAACTGCAATTTCTAAAAATTCCCTTCAATATACCAAAGTTTTGGCTGAACAGCCTTCTTCAGAGAACATTAATGAACTTGTTTATGTCCCATTTTGTGGAACTGTCCATTACATGTATTAATTTTGGGAATTTAAAGATTGAACAAGGTTGAATTTTGAAAATCCTAGTCAAGGCTACTTCTCAAAATGTTACATGTTGCTTAATATTGACCAATTCAGTAAAGATTTAATGTATTTACCATATCAATTTTTGAACATTGTCATTGATTGTACTGTTTGCAGGGACCTGAGCATCCAAACCCTGGTAAGAAGTTTTCAACTCGAGGATTTCCTAGAATAGGATATTTACCTGACTGTGATAAAGGTAGAAAGGTAAGAAATAGGGATATAAAATCTGAACATTTTAGAATAGGTCTATTGCTTGGCATTTAGTGTACATGTACTTAACCTCCCCTTTAAAAATGGATTAAGGGTCATTTATTTTTTTTGTCTTAAATTGACAATGATGGATAGTATTTTATGTACCACTGTTTGTGTTGGAAAACCAGCTTGTGTTTTGGATTCTATCAAGAAGCCATTCAACTGTTTAAAAATGGTCTGTGGTTTGAATCAGGTGTTGACGAGCAGCTGAAATAATGTGTACATGTATTAAACTACATGTTAAACTACATAAGCTCATGCCCTGCCAGATTAGATGGACAGTTATATGTGTTGTTAACTATGTTGGTTTCATTTAAAAAACACCAAAACAAGATTGATTACAGAAAATATAGGAAGAAAATAAATAAGAAACATTTACGTCTACTTCAAAAGATTTTATCAATCATCAAATAATTGTACATATGAAGCACTAGTGAAATATAATCGTTTTACATTCTAGGTGCTTCAGTTGTTAATTATAGCGTGGAAAAGACGTCTCACATTTACAATTGGGCATTCTACGACTACCGGTGAAGATAATACAGTAACTTGGAACGAGATCCATCATAAAACTGAACTCGGCTCAAATTATTCCGGTCACGGTTATCCGGACCCAAAATATCTTGATAATGTTTTAAACGAGTTAGCAGTACATGGAATCACAGAAAAAGATTTACCTTCTGGTTGAGAGGTCATGGATTCCGAGATATTTCAACACTTCCGAGATTATATCCACATGGATTTTTGGTGATATTAAATATTTCACAATAAAGACTATGTAACTAGTTACTATGGTACCAGTAACTTTGATAAAAGCTTGTGTTTTGTAAAGACAACCTGAGTCTTTCATGTGAACTTTAGAATAGATTTTTGAACATTTACTTCGGTATTATATTAAATGTTTTCCAACACACTGCATTTTTTAATGTTTCAATCGTCATAGGACTGTTCACTGAAGTCAATATTTCTAAG